GGCCAGCTTTAGCTCTGAGGCCTCGCTGCTGAAAACATGGATACAATGTTTCGGTCCGGCTGGGTTTCAGTCCGGCTGTTTTCTGGGGTTTTGTTTACCTTCTTATTTGCAACATAGTATATAGTTGCTTAGACTTGCAGATGAGAGGCTGGCAAGTGAGGCGGGGAACGTTGGAGTCTGCAGCAAGCAAGCCTCCCTGCTCGCTTCAGTGCCTGGCTGCCTGCCGCCATCTTGGCTGACAGTTAATTTGCATATACTCACTGATTAGCCAATGAAAAGGGTAGCGGTCGTACGCCAATTACCATGTTTCTCTTTTATTAGTGTAGATAGTATAAATATGTGCTATAATGTTTATATTAAAATAAAAATGTTAAGACAAATTTTGTTAATAAAGGAAAAATTCTATGATGTCATACTTTGTCACTCCTTAAGGGATTGCCTTCTCTCTGTGGAACTGCATTTCATCTCTTAGAAATCAGAGGGTTAACTGTGTGTGGCTCCTAATTCCTGCAATTATTCTGTGGGTTTGAAACAAGCAGGTTTACCAGGCCACGAGCCTGCCTTCTGGCACCTCTTTCACGCTCTTTATCTTACTTGGTTGCTATTATTTCCCTTCTGTATTAAGAGGCTTCATAATATTCCAAAATGTTCCATGAAGATAATTTCCAGAAAAATGAGCTACTGGGCTTGGAGAGCAAGCTCACTGGTTCACCCACTGCAGGACTAGCAGGGAAGAGCTGGCTGACATTGCCACTTAGGTGACCTACCCAGGTCTTGGGATCCCACCAACTACACCACCCAAAGTCTCTGTAAGGATGAGAAGCCAGAAAAGCTATCTCCATCTCCATCACCTCCATTACCTCCATCCTCTCCATTCTCTCCATCTTCTCATCTCCATCTTCATCTCCTCCAGCTGGGTTTTAGTCCTCACCACTTCCCAGCCTTGAACAACCACACAGCAGGGTCTCCTGGGCTCTGGGAACAATGCCTGAGGGTAGACATGGGTGGGTACTCAATGGAGGCCTGGCCATGTCAGCATCCAACCTGAACCTTACTCCAGAGCAGGACCCTAGTCCCAAACCCAAATCCAGCCTCCTATCTACATTTGTAAATAAAGTTTTATTGGCACACAGCCACACCGACTCATTTACATGTTGTCTATGGCCTCATTCATGCCAAAATGGCACTGTTGGTTGGTTTTGACAAAAACAGTGTGGCCCACAGAGCTACTTACTATCTGCCCTTTACAGAACAAGTTTGATGGCCTTC